TCAATCAGGACATCTGAAAATTCATCTGCGTGTCCACACTGGGGAGACACCTTACGAATGCGGCCAGTGTGACAAGAGATTCAAATGGTCAAATAGTCTGAAGTGTCATCAATGTAGCCACAATAGAGAGAAGGAGGACAAACGCACTGGATGAAAATCCTGTTTCTGCAATCTGTGAAAGAGGAGATTCTTGTGGACAGGAAATCTAAATAGTCATGAACTCATTCACAATGAAGGACAAAAAAAAATAGTTCTGTGGACGTTTAAGAACAAACCTCTTTCACTAAAGATGAACAGATCCATCAAGAAATAAAACAATAAAGACATTAAGCATATCTGAAGTGTAGAAAAAGTGCTTGTTTGACAAATGCACGTGTTGTAACAACTGTCACTGACCTTCCTCGAAATATTGTGTGCAGTCCTTGACAAATAAAATCAATTAAACTAAAAACTTTGCCACAAAGACAGAAATGGCTATGATGAAGATGTCAGAGTCAGAGAGGTATTATTGTCATTTCAGCTACGTACAAGTACATATTTAAATGAAACAGAGTTCCCCCAGGATCATGGTGCAACACAGAACATAACGTGCAAAACAAAACAACACACAGAGCAGATATACACAAGAGTACAATAAATACAAACAAGGCCTGTAATAAATGTAAAGACATCTAACCTAATCTAAACATTCTAATCTAAACAAGTAATTAAGAGACAAAACATGATGATTAGCACATGTCAGAATCAGAATAAGCTTCATTATCAATGTACCGAGATGTAGCGAGAATGTCTGCACAGTCGTCCGAAAGATGGGCGGAGTGCACGTAGTTGCTGTTATGATAGCGCGGCCTCTTATCCTTTTCAGAATACGTTTTTTTACATAGAAAAGGGGAAAAATCCACGAGGAGAAGAAAGTGGCATTATAAAAAAGATCTCTTCACACCTTGTCCTAACAGGACACGTTACATATGCGTTTACAACGAGGCAGTCCATGAAGCATCCAACAATGTTCAGTCAGGTCATTTGAACAGTTTATTTTGTTTTGTGCTGAAATGTTTCCCCTTCCATCCAGAAGGCTTCATCAGTCAAGGAAACACAACACAAAACTGATACACCATTTTACACCAACATAACTGGTTTGTTCCACTTTGGCGTAGGCTGATGGGGGAACAATCAGTTTTATGTTGTGCGTTTACGTCTTCAGCAGCATGAGCAGGGAGGCCCATACATCTCTTTCCACAGCCACCTCTTTTGGGAGGACTCCAAGGCGTTCCCAGGCCAACCGAGAGATGTTGGCCTGGGTCTTCCCTGGGGTCTCCTCCCAGTCGAACATGCCTGAAGCACCTCGTAGGGAGGCGCCCAGGAAGCATCCTTACCAGACGCCCGAACCACCTCAACTGGCTCCTCTTGACATGGAGGAGCAGCGGTTCTACTCGGAGTCTCTCCCGGATAACTGAACTTCTCACCCTATCTCTAAGGGAGAGTCCAGCTACCCTGCGGAGGAAACTCATTTCAACCACCTGTATCCGCAATCTCATTCTCTTGGTCACTACCCAGAGCTCATGACTATAGGTGAGGGTAGGAACGTAGACCGACCAGTAAACAGCGAGCTTTGCCTTACAGCTCAGCTCTCTCTTCACCACAACAAACCGGTACAGAGTCCACAATAATGCAGACGCTGCACCAATCCGTCTGTCAATCTCATGCTCCATTCTTCCCTCACTCGTGAACAAAACCCCGAGATACTTGAACTCCTCCACTGGAGGCAGAACCTCACCCTCGACCTGAAGAGAGCAATCCACCCTTTTCCAACTGAGGACCATGGCCTCAGATTTGGAGGTGCTGATTCTCATCTCAGCCGCTTCACACTCTGCTGCGAACCGTTCCAGTAAGAGCTAAAGATCACGGCACGATGACGCCAACAGAATCACATCATCTGCAAAGAGCAGAGATGGAATCTAGAAGCCACCGAACCGGAAACCCTCCGCCTGCTGGCTGCGCCGAGAAATTCTGTCCATGAAAGTTATGAACCGAATCGGTGACAACGGGCAGCCCTGGAGTCCAACTCCCACCCTGAAGTGTCCGACTTACTACTGGCAATGTGAACCAAGGATATCAGTGCCTGTCTAATGCATGCTTGTCTGTGCAGCTGATCCAGTATGGGAGGGGATTTTATTGTGCGTTTTGTTTTTTTGTGTGTGTTCTAAAAAAACAAATCTGTAACAAGACTGACTAAAAGAATTAAAATACTTTTTTCTGTACCCCTACTTGTTTCGATTAGGAAGGTTAGATGTTGTTTTATGTTCTGGGATCACTTCATGGCGTCTTCATGGACTCATTTGGTTTTTTGTGCCACAGACTGGGCTCATGTTGGCTCATTTTTCCAGCAGGGGTCACATTTTACTCATGTTGTGGCCAAACAATTATTTTTAAAACCATATGATTTCTGGACTTTAAACCGTATTAAAAGTCTGGCAGTGATTTGACAAACGTCCAAAACCTATGATTAGTCACCACAACTGGTTTGTGTCTTCATGTGTCTCCATGAGACCAGGTGCTCCAACAAACAGTGACTCATCAGTTCTGCTGGTCCAAACCACCCCAGCTCACATTCTTCTCACTCCACCGGCTGTTTCCCTCTTTGCCTGTTTTTTAACCTGATATTTTAGCTTTCTGAATCACAGCCTGTTGCTCTTCAGCAGCAGCTAAAGATTTAACTTTGATTAGCTGAAAAGGTTTTCTAAACTTGGATGACAAATTGGTTTCTGTGCACATTTTGTCTCATTTTAGAAGCAGCTAAAGGGCATTTTTAGACAAAGTGATGAAAATGCTCGACAAAGAATTTCTAAATGTCACGGCGACCTTTCAGCTAACTCAATGTTCTTAAACCAGTGTTCATATTTATTTATATCAACACCCATATTTCTTTGAGTATAAAACCAGCTGTGAATGCTGGGAGAGTTGGATCACTCACCCAGTCCAACGCTGCTGTTCTCCAGCAGGTAGCTAAGGTGGTCAAACATGGCTTTCTGGTTCTGACGGCTGATACGACAGAAGTAGCACAAGAATCGACAGCAGCTGGCCACCATTTTTGGGAAGGCAATTTCCTGAAGGGGGAAAAAGGAAAAGATGCAATAAAACAAAATGATTTCTATAAAAATGAGAACTGTTGCGCCGGCTGACTCACAGTGATAATACGTTTATAAGACACATTACAAATACAAAATGTAAACACTAAGTGCTGAATAACAGCTGAATGTTGTTGAAGGGGTTAAAACTGAAATGTAAAATCGAAAAAACGGAACAGAAACTAAAATCAGTCAAACAGTAACTCATAGCTAAAAAAAACAAATTGTGACTAAAAGCAAAAATTAGGTAAATCGTAGAGAAATCTTTACATTTCTAAACTAAGCCAGTAAAATATTAAGATTTTAAAACAATCAAAACCCTAGCTTAAAAGAAAACTACCAAAACATTAGTTGAAAGATAAAATAAGCTAAATCACAACTAAAAGCTAAACCAGCAAAACTGTAGCCAAAAGCTAAAATTAGCAAACCATAGCTAGTTGACAAATGAGCAACACAGAAGCTAAATGCTAAAATAAGCTAAATCAAAGCAAAAATTTAAAAAACTCAGCTAACATATAGCTAAATGTTTGAATCAGCAAAGCATTAACTAAAAGTTGAAAATCAGTAAAACCATAGCTAAACTTTAAAATTTGCTCAACAGTAGCTAAAACCTAATTAGCAAACCATAGCTAGATGCTAAAAAGAGCAACACAGTAGCTAAAGGCTAAAAAAGCAAAACCATAGCAAAAAATAAATAATCAGCAAACACATATCTAAATGTTTAAATAAACAAAACCTTAGCTAAAAGTTGAAAATCAGTATAACCATGGCTAAACTTTAAAATTTGCTAAATAGTAGCTAAAACCTAATTAGCAAACCATAGCTAGATGCCAAAATGAGCAACACAGTAGCTAAATGCTAAAATAAGCAAAACCATAGCTAAAAAAAAAAATTCAGCAAAAACATAGCTAAATGTTTAAATCAGCAAAACCTTAGCTAAAAGTTGAAAATCAGTAAAATCATGGCAAAACTTTAAAATTAGCTAAAAAAAAGTAGCTAAAACCTAATTAGCAAACCATAGCTAGATGCCAAAATGAGCAACACAGTAGCTAAATGCAAAAACGCTAAACAATAGCTAAAATAAAAATAAAAAAAAAACTCAGCAAACACATCTAGATGGTTAAATCAGCAAAACCTTGGCTAAAAGTTGAAAATCAGTTAAACCATAGCTAAACTTCAAAAGTAGCTAAACAGTAGCTAAAACCTAATTAGCAAACCATAACTTGTAAACTTTTCCTCACAAAGTCTCAGCCAACCGATAACTTTTCACTGATGCCAGATGTTTCTGATTTGATGATTTGCCTCTGGTGACTGATTCTTGCGTTAGATGTGCGATTGTAAAACTGAAGATCTTTATTCTACACCTTCTGTCTTTGTGATGCCATTCTTTTTCTTTGTTGACGATTAAGTTTGTGATCAAATTATAATGAGATAATCCATTTTAAACCCAATAACTCAACGTGTGATGTTCATGGTGTCATCGGAGATAATCCTAAAGTAAATATTACAAACCTTCTGCTGAGCTTTATATGGCCACGGAGCAGAGGGCGTATCGAGTGGCGGTCAGGAATTTCCCTGAAACTGTGATGGGGCTCTCAGTGTTCGTCATGAAGGGTTTAAAGTCTCCCTGAGGTCTGCCGGCATGGCTGAATTCATGCTTCGCTCTGGCATTTAATCCCAGCGGGCTCTTCCAGCTTGTGTCAGCGCAGCTTCAGAGCCCTCCTTCAACGCCTCATGCCTCATCTGCCCCCCCGCCCCCTGTCACCCTTGTGGTTTTTCAGGGTATTAGGTTGTTGCTCTTGGCCAACCTTAATGCCTCAGAATAAAATTTGCTTTAACTGTAAATAATCTAACAAGCATTTTAACATTTGCTCACGTTACATGACCCACTGACTCGACTGCGCTTCTGATCATCAATTTAATCAACACATCATAATTTGGTGTTATAGTTTAAGAGAAAGGAACAATCCAAAATATTAATTACAGCATGTTTTAATTCTGTGTGAATTAAAACATTGCTAAACCAATAATTAAAAAGAAAAAAAAGTGAAATGGGTTGTTCAGTATACAAACTAAAAATGTCTGCTTGTATAAAATGTGACAAAAAGCTTAATTTCTTTTTTACATCTTAGAAATTAAATGCATTTGACATTTAGACTGTTCAATAAACTTAAGACAGCAGCTTGAGATGACGGGAGAAACAAACTAATAATATGATCCGTCCATCTGTTGAGCACAAAAGGCCATTTATAACCGATTGGTCGCCAAAAGATCTTCAAAAGTCCAAAGTTTGCATTTTGTTTGTTCCTTCTAAGATACAGTAGTACTGAGCAAAACTCAGCTGATGGTAAAATAAAGAACACTATGCAGGCCTTTTAAAACAACTTTAAAACCTCCAATATGTAATATTTAAAATGTCCAAATATTCAGTGTTCCACTAAATGACAGTGGTGATTTGGGGGCGTGCAAGCATCCCAAAATTTTAACTCGGCACCCCTGAAAAATTAAGAAACCATCATTGCAATTTTGAAAGGAAGCCTAGTTCTTAAACCTTAGATTGACCGAAATATTAAATAAATATGAACCAAATATGGAATAAATGAAAACACTCTTAAACGGGTAAAATCTTCTCTTTTTTTTTGCACGAGTCGGATCCTCAACACCAGCTGTCAATCAATCCAATATGCTCATCAGCAACTGGCCAATCGGCGATCTCAATTTGTTCCGAAGGTAAACGCCCCTTACCTGCAGGAGCTCCACCCCCTTTTCCTCCATCAACATTGTTGGGGGTTTGCATTACAAACGCTTTGCAGTCAGAGGTTAATGGTTAGAGCTAGTTGTGCTTTGTTTTGTGTGTAGATATATGTTGCAACTTCTGGTTGCATGAGTTTAGTTTTTGTTTGCCATGATCCTTTAAAAGTTCTATTTGAGACTGAGCTCCTCGTTTATGGCCGTACCACCACGAACACGCCCGATCTCGTCTGCTCTCAGAAGCCAAGCGGAGTCGGGCCTGGTTAGTACTTGGACGGGGAACCGTAAGCTTCTGCACTTCTCACAAACCGTACTGGGGGCTAAGGACCCCTAAAGGTCAGATCCTAGAATCACCCCTGCTAAATGACCTTCTGGGGTGACGTGAGGTGCATCTTTACAAATCTGGTTTCAGCAATCTGATTTAAATGTTCTACCTGGGACTTGTCTCCTCCCAGAACATTGACCATGACCTCCATGACGGTCTCGTGCATGCCCAGAACTCTCATCAGGTTGGGATGTTGGTAAAAAACTTTATTGTTCATGATGTCCCTAAAAACATGAAATTAATACGTCAAAGCCTTATCTGGATAAGCAATCATCTGTAATAGTCTGATACGTGTTGAATATTTACATTATTAATTCTTCAAATCAAAGGAGCGTCATTGCATTTGGAGAAATAGATTTTCTTACCCGAGTCCATCTATCATGAGCTTCTCCTCCTCTTTGCCCATTCGCACTGAAAGCAGAGACCTGATTTGACCCAGGGAGGCCAGCAGGTTAATAGCATCCTGCACGGATGCGGCGCTGATGGTGTAGGATTTCTTCATGGCCCGCAGCAGTTCCCCGATGCCGTCGTACTGCCTCCTCAGCAGGCTGAACATCACTCTGACCAGCTCTGGGTCCTGGATGTGCGACTCCTGAGCCCAGCTGGTTATGGTCTGAGAAATCAGCTCCTTCAGGTTGGCTGAAGAAGAAACACAGAAATAAATGAGTTTTGGTGCATAAAACATGCTGTAAAACTAACAGCTATATAACACAACTTATCTACACAATGTGTAATTGTTTTTTTTTTTCTACTCTTAACCATAAACAGGTCTGGCAGAGGGAAGTAAAAAATCAGAAGTAGAAGTCACCTAAAAACACAGACTCAGGCAGTGTTCGCTTCCTAAACTGTATTTCATTGGAAGGTTTTTAATAAAGCCAAAAGCACAGGGAAATAATTTATTGACAATAATAATTGTGTGAATGTTTTTGAAGCATTCACACTATTGTGATCCATTTTTTTTCTGTACATTTTACGGCATCTTTCTCGTTCCACAAGTTTTGTGCCGTTTCAATAAATCATATTTCAAAACGTTCAGCTCGTTCAGGAGAAGGGTGCTATGACTTTTGGTATTGGTGCAACTTTAGCTTTTTGAAATATTTAGCCTTTTCTGCCATTTTTTTCCTCATAGAAAATGAACTGAGCTCATTTTACATCCTTCATATCTTTAGATCTGTTTACAACCTTTTGCTGCTCCTTTCACATTTTCTTCTGGTTCAGCTTCTTTCAGTTTCATTGTGAAAATTTAAACTTTTCAGCTACTTTCAGCCGTTTTATCATCTATTTTGGGATCATTTTAGCTTCTTTCTGCTAACTACAACATTTGTGTGCTTCTTGTAACTTCTCTCTGCTAATTTCAGCTTATTTGTGCAAGTTTCAATTTTTTCCGCTATTTCAGCTACTATTTAGCAGTTTTATGCTAATTTTCGCCATTTTGGCTAATTCCACATTTTTTGCACTCATTTAAATTTTTTCAGCCTAATTCAGCAAAAATATGCTCTTTCCACTTCTTGTAATTTAAGCTTCTTTCAGAAAATTGTAGCTATTGTTCAGCTGTTATTTGCTCATTTCAGCTTTTATCAGATAATATCAACTTTTTAATGCCAATTTAATGGTCTACATTTTCAGCTACTCTTTTAGCATTTTAGCATCTTTCAGCTAATTTCAGCTGTTTTCAGATACATTCTATTTTTTTGTGGTAATGTCTGTTAGTTTAAGCCTAATTGCCTCCTTTCTGCTAATTTCAGCTCCTTTCAGCTTTTTTCTACTAGTTTCAGCTTCTTCTGTCTTTTCAGCTACTTTTTAGCTGTGTGTGATAAATTTAGTTTTTTCAATTA